ATATGTTCAAGTATTTTATTGCATTTTTTTTAAAAACATAATAAATCTAAAACTAAAAGGTAAAAACTAAGAAAATAGTACTAAAGGGATTCAAACTCGTTTTTTCAGGTGGAAGAAAAGTCTTGYAAACCAATTACCAACTTTACCAAGGGAAACTTATATTCTTATTATAGTTTCAAAATATAAATGATGACACACAAYAAATTGATACGGTAGCACACTTTATACTACACCAAAGGAAAGAAATTGTAGCACATGCCATCTATGGCACCCCTTTGGGTCCGTCCATACATGATCATGATTTTCATTTATGCAAAACCTTTAATGGCCTCAAACAAGCAYCAAAGTTTGGTTTGAGACATCCAACATTAGAATTTGGTATTAGATATAATTTTCAAAACAAACGCATACCATAATGACTATTTCTAAACTTATTAAAGCATAAAGATGATGCCAGTGGTGATGCGGCTGTGGCGACAATAATGGTAATGGTAGTATAAGCAACGACGRTGAATGTGGTGGTGGCGAAGATGCGACAGTGGTGGCCCAAAAACAATGATGGTGGTGATTGTGGGGGGCAACAATGACAATGATGACARCGGTGGTATGGTGGCGGTGACGATGGTGTTGTGGAGACAACAATGGTGACCGGKGGGAGGGATGATAACGTTTGTGGGATGGAATATATTAGAGTAGATATAATGGCATAATGGTCTTTCTCAAAATATGAGATGAAAGGAGCCGTAGTTCCTTACTAAAACCCAAGGAATTTAAAATTTTCAATTTTTGGAATTGAAATTCAATACGAAAACTCAAAAACRAACCAAATGCACAAATTGAATTTTGTCAACGAAATTAACGATTCCAATTTCTTTAGATCTAATCGATTCCAACTCCTCAAATTCCTCAAGTTTAGATGACTATGACTTTGCTCTGATACCAAATCATGCCACCTTAATGATTGAACATGGATAACCATAGGCAATGTTCATCTTATTTGAATAAAATTTCAATTGACACACCATATATTTTATTATAACATAGAACCATGAAATAATAGYATCATTAACTTACATATATGATCAGTTGAGTATTAAACTATGTATGATTTATGCATTTCTAAAATGTATTCGATACTTCTAAAGTCTAGATATAATTTTTTAGCCTCTCATGTAGCTTAATAAAGTGTATATATAAAGTATCATTCAATAAACAAAATGTTGTTAAAAACTTATAAATAAAAACTAGAAGGGTATTCGCGCAATGCAGCGAAATACATCTTCATTTTAATATTTCGTTTTATTTTTTGTCTCTATTGATGTAATACGGTTTATGTAGTTTCGATAAATATAAGGTTTTTACTTTTAAATAAAAATAAATTTGGAAATATATCATAAAAATTTGAAAAAATACSTCGACATTAATAAAGTTCAAAAAAACCCAATGGACTTTACTGTTTGGAACGAGTAAGTCCTTGAATAATTTTTTGGAACAAATAAATCCTTGAACATTCTAGAATTTATTAAATAATTCTTTAGACTTTTTAAAACATGTTAAATAGATCCTTATTGTTTAAAACATAAGAACTCCCCCACGTCTTCTCCCTCTCCTCTCGCACACCATCGCCTCCCTCTCCCCCATTGCCGCCGCACCAGCCCCGT